GGAGAAGCAGAAGGAAAATTCAGGCCAGGAAAAACACCCAAAAAACTAGGCAGACCACTATATCAGAATAGTGATATATGTCTGACTCAGTGACCGCTCTGATCTGCAATAAGACTAACTTCTGAAAGAGCTCTAACAGTGACCTGCAATGGTGTAGAGCTCTAGAGACACACTGGCTTCCTCTTAACCACCAAAAGCTGCTAAATCTTTGTGATGCTCTACTCAGCAACTGTTATTTGAACAAAACAATATTCTTTTGGATATCAATGAAAATTTAACTGTGGATTGCAGCTTAGCAACTCAGCTTCAGTCACATACGTTGTGTAGGAACATGCAGTATTAGAGGAATCACAAAATTAATGCCAATAAGACACTCTCCAGAGAAAATACTTGCAAAACACACATGATGAAAGGATTTTCATATTTTGAGGTTTAACTGGTTGGAGAGAGAGGTCTTCTGTTACACTGCTGATGGATGTTACTCCAATTTCCTGCAGTACATTTGTTTTTGTGGACAAAGGTGCCTTCACACATTCTTTCATGCCAACCCTATCATTTGTAATTCTCTGCTTGAGCTGATTGCCTTCAAATTCTCCCCGTAAAAGCTTTCAAAAGTTTGTAAACAAATTCCTCTTTTCCTGAAAAGTGTACAAGAACACACTTGCACTAAGTTGCCTCAGAGTTTCCAATCTGCTAATAAAAAGCTATTGTTAGTAAATGGCCCTAATTCCTAATTTTCCTAATTCTCACCAGATGATCAAAAATGTAAACCCTAGTCTCTTCCAAACTTTACAACTCAAAACATACATAAATTCTCCCCCTGCTGCTGCCTTTTTTTATATTACCTAATTTTTTTCTGTTTAGAATTGGATTTGTAGATAAACACACCACCTCTCAGCTCCCACTTCATTAGTCCAGCTACGCTCATCATTAAAAGCAACTAATATACTGCAGCACAGTGAATACAGAGGTATGAAATCAGAAGTGAGATGGAAGGGGAAAAAAGCCCACTAAATCCATGAACCATGCAGAAGTGGCCTACAGCTGATCCACTTCTCTAACTGAGAAGAGCAAGCACCGTGCAGGTTTACGAATGTGCCGTTTCCAGGCTCAGAGAAGCAACACAGATGTTCACTTGCATCAACGTTTTTCAGTACAGCGTACCAACAGTATTTAAATACTTCTGTTTCAGGCTAATATTCTGCACTGACGGGTGCCTTCAGCAAAGTTGCTTTCGAATGCTGCTGACGTACCGACTCAAGCACTTCGACGTTTCGGACGGAGGGGTCAGGCGCCACCTCTGGCCAGTCTGACAGCTCCAGGTAGCCAGTGGCTCCGCTGCTG